TGTACATAACAATGAAATAACTGGTGCGAAGAGGGTCGGAGATGAGAAAAAGGAACAGCTTCTATTCGTCAGATAGCTAAAATTAAAGTCTCGCTGACTTAAGTGTCAAGACGGTGAGAGACGGTGCTTGGACGAGAGAGGATAGGCGATAGAGCACATCTTATAAAAGAGCGCCGGACACAAGCATGCCGCGGACGAGAAGGATGGAAGAGCGGTATTCAGTAAAGTCGCCTATGGGGCCCTTATTTACGCACTTCAGAGTTGTAAAGAAACGGCACCACTGGCCGCGGTCTGGGTGAGCATTCTATCCTACCCACCAGTAGGCTTCATGCCTATCGCGACTATTCGCGATTTTTCAGATTTTTCTAGCTCTTTCCCACTACCGTAGCAAAACATTGAAGCTCTTATCAAGCTTAGAAAAGTGGGCGGGAATGAGAATGGAATGTGCTTAGGAAACGATATATATACTGGTCGATTGGATTCCTTTTTGCTTTTTTGCACTGTGTTCGTCTGAGGCTCAACCATAGCCTCGTTTAATTCTGTTCGTCTGAGGCTCAACCATAGCCTCGTTTAATTCTGTGGTCGTCTGGCCCTGTTGCCACTGTTGATTGTCAAGTGCTGAATTCGCAATAAAGGATTGGTTATTCCACTGAACCACAAGAGAAGAAGAGAACCTTCGTCATTAAATGGTGCATCGCCAAATACGCTGAAGAAGCCAAGGAAAAGGTACGCAATTCAATATTGGTACGCTTGAATACTTTTGGCTTCCTTTGGGAAAAAACCACGCAGTTTTTTTTCTAGTGGTCAAAAAACGAACAAAACCACGCTGTTTTTCCTTACTACTTCTCCATTTTGATTTCTCTCGATTGATTTTCCCTATTCATTACGCTGTTCATTGAGAATCTCTTGATCTCTCAGTTTCTCCATGTCCGGCCCTATAACATTGAAATCGAGAAAGTCTCTCCTCACGCGCTATTGTAATAATCTGACTGGGCTTATCAATCGGTACGAAGTAGAGGCTTCGCTGAACGATGCTCAGCCGGGTGCGAAGGAGGTGGTAGAATACGCGGTAGAGCTCAGGGAATCTATTCGCTTAGTTGAGACACAAGTCAACCTGCTAGTAGACGCACTTGATCAAATAAGCGAGCCCTTGACGGAAGAGCAAGAAGCGCAAGCCGATGAGTACATCACGAAGGCCCATACCGCATGGAAAAACGCATAAACTAACTAACACTAACTAAAACTCCCCGTAAAAACGCCCTCTGTACAATACCGAAGGCAACGGGATGCAACGATAACAGCCAAAGTACCTCAAATGGTAACAGCCGAATTTATCGTAGAAACCACGCGAATAATGGCCGATGACAGTGCCTCAATCATAGTCACCAATGCGTCTTGCACTGTGGGTAACAGCGAGCTACAGGGGTGCTACAACTGCGCAAAGGGAGCAGAAGCGAAAGTCCACTGTCATTCTCCCATTGAAACGCTAGGGGAAATTATCTGTGAAGGAAAGGGGTTTGTAATACCCTGCGCACCGCATTCTCCAAAAACTCTGTTAAGATTCCATCTCGTAAGCGCAAGACAATTGTTACACTGCACCATAGAGTGTGGAGAAATGCGAAAATCTTTCATCCTCACAGGAATACTCAAATACGTCGGCAGTTTCCGTACACTATTTAGAGGGACTCTACAGGGGAAGAGCATGACATACAACGAAATCAACTGGCCGGACCTATCTCACATTGCGGATGTTTTTTTAAGTTGGTATAAGACCCTAATCGTCGTGCTACTAGGGGGCGCACTGATCCTTCTCATCCTTTATATTTGCTTACAAACGGCCGGTATACACTTAGCACGTCACCTCGTACGCTTGACGCTTAAGCTATTATACCTACCACCACGTATCATATTTCTTCTCTACAGAAAAATCTATAGAAGATTTTCACAAACACAACCACTTCCAATCAGTGTGCACGAAAAGCGCATTTAAAAGAAATAGTGGTAGTGAAGTCAAAGGCCCTTTGGACCAAATCCTCTTTCAATTTTTTTTTCTTTCACAGTAGATACTTCTTTCCATACCACACCATTACATAGAACCGTACTTCCAGATGAATCCGCTTGATGAATTACAACGTCTTCGCCGAATTTACGACGCCATCCCACCGTTGCCCGACGCTGACGCGCTCTACAATAAGATCCTGCATGGCAGCGTGCAACTTCGCATCATGACACGGTCGATGAGTGATCTGTTTGGTCGTATCAACTCACTACGCAAATCTGAAGAGAGTCCTAAAGACCGAATACTTCAGTGGCACATCATCGAGGCCATCTGGGACAAAACGCATATAGCATTTAGTCTTTTGCGCTCTGAAATGCGTACGCTCTTCGCTGTAGTTCCACTCCTCATTGCTTGCGATATAGTTTCCGAGAGTGAATGGGATTCGATGATGCGTAGACCCCAATGGGACGATAAGGGGAAATCGCTTCTCCTCGAACATGGTCTGATTGAAAACGTTATCACAGATCAGTTCGACTTACTAGAAGAGTACCGTTTGATGCTCGTAGAACTACGTCAAAAGATAACCGATGAAGAAAATCGTGACACAAAATGCTTTCAAGAAGCGCTCAATTCTACTCTCTCGCATATCAAGGAACAGCTCGATAAAGTCGCTCTTTCCACCAAAGCACGAGAAATTGACGAACTAAAAATACTACTTCAAACAGAAGTATCCAAATTAAAAGACACTTATGGGACTCTGATTGAAGTAGTTCAGGACGCTATCGCAAACGTGGCGCGTTCACCCCACGCTGAGGGTGACTCATCATCTCGCGCTAGTGGCGAGGGCGAGGGCATCGAGATGCTCGATCAAGCGCTAGGTTCCGCTAGTGACGAAGAAGGACGCGCTATGATCGAGGAGGCGAACATCATAGAGCGCAACACTGAGTTCATGGAAGGTGTCGAGATGGGCGACGATGTTGACAGCGTGCTAAGATCGCAATGGCAGCAGAGAAGGGCCATAGAAAAAGAGATTCAAGAAAAATACGCCAACATCGACGATCTCGAAGCCCTAGTGATGGACCTCGAATCTAAACCGAAATGCGAGCCCAGAAACTTCGAGGGTGGGGTCATTCGTCGCAAAGACGAAATAACCATACGCTGTGTTTTTTGTGGAAAAATCGGTTTGCATTATTCCGACTCATGCGCCGCGTTCAAGAGAGTTGAAGAAAGAAAACGCATACTTCAACTCAGTGGACGCTGCGAGTGTTGCTTGGAAATCAGATTTGAGTTCCATCACTGCCGGAGAGCTATGGTGTCCTGTTACCACTGTAAGGAAAAAGGACATCACAGCGCTATATGTGATTTTCCAGAAAGAAGCGAGGAAATTCAAGCGCGTATCAACGACGCCTTAGAGCAACGAAGAACTACTTTGCGTATAATCGGCGAGCTGGAAGAACAACTAGAGCAGCTGCTATGATTGGCCTTTAGCCTTCATTTTTTCGGTTGATTTGGGAACGGTTTTTTTTCTCTCTCTCTCGGCCCCGGAGTATCGCGACTATTCGCGATTTTTCAGATTTTTCTAGCTCTTTCCCACTACCGTAGCAAAACATTGAAGCTCTTATCAAGCTTAGAAAAGTGGGCGGGAATGAGAATGGAATGTGCTTAGGAAACGATATATATACTGGTCGATTGGATTCCTTTTTGCTTTTTTGCACTGTGTTCGTCTGAGGCTCAACCATAGCCTCGTTTAATTCTGTTCGTCTGAGGCTCAACCATAGCCTCGTTTAATTCTGTGGTCGTCTGGCCCTGTTGCCACTGTTGATTGTCAAGTGCTGAATTCGCAATAAAGGATTGGTTATTCCACTGAACCACAAGAGAAGAAGAGAACCTTCGTCATTAAATGGTGCATCGCCAAATACGCTGAAGAAGCCAAGGAAAAGGTACGCAATTCAATATTGGTACGCTTGAATACTTTTGGCTTCCTTTGGGAAAAAACCACGCAGTTTTTTTTCTAGTGGTCAAAAAACGAACAAAACCACGCTGTTTTTCCTTACTACTTCTCCATTTTGATTTCTCTCGATTGATTTTCCCTATTCATTACGCTGTTCATTGAGAATCTCTTGATCTCTCAGTTTCTCCATGTCCGGCCCTATAACATTGAAATCGAGAAAGTCTCTCCTCACGCGCTATTGTAATAATCTGACTGGGCTTATCAATCGGTACGAAGTAGAGGCTTCGCTGAACGATGCTCAGCCGGGTGCGAAGGAGGTGGTAGAATACGCGGTAGAGCTCAGGGAATCTATTCGCTTAGTTGAGACACAAGTCAACCTGCTAGTAGACGCACTTGATCAAATAAGCGAGCCCTTGACGGAAGAGCAAGAAGCGCAAGCCGATGAGTACATCACGAAGGCCCATACCGCTATGGAAAACGCTGAAAAGCTAGCCATGCGAATAGAGGCAAAGCGCATCGGAGCTTCATGCAGACCCATCGAGGTTTCACCACATACAAGGAACGTAGGACAGTTAGATGCAAACGCACCTAAACTACCTTCCATTCCCATACCATTGTTTGATGGGAGAATATGGGAATTTGCTAACTTTTGGACGCTTTTCGAAGCCAATGTAGACAGCCAGCTATCCCTAACCGACCTGCAGAAGTTTAATTACTTGATATCCGCACTGCGCGGTGATGCACGTGAATTGATCAAACGGTACCCAGTCACCGGGGAGAACTATGCTCTGGCTATCGATCTTTTGAAGCGAAAATACGGCAACGCTTCGCGGCTTATCTCCGCATTGCAATCGAGGCTAGAGCGCGCAAAAGCAGAGCAGCCATCGGTACAGGCGCAGAGAAAGCTCTTGGAAACAATCACACCGATCGTGATTCAGCTTCAAAAGCTAGGGGTTGTATTAGACGGATCATACAACGCCCAAAAGGTGCTCGCTAAGTTCGCAGTCCGCATACAGACGGAAAGTACTGGAACATTTAGTGACACCAGACATGGACGAAAGTCATTGGAAAATGATGACTATGATAGAAACAATAGACGCTTTCATAAGCACTGAAGAGCGCATAAATGAGATGGTTAGCAAAACTCTGGAGGCCAGCGATAGAAACGAATTGCCGTGGAAGCAAACATCTACAGTTACTGTTCCTATTGCACAAAAAGGGTGTATGTTTTGCAACTCATCAGAACATCGAGCTGTAGCTTGCCCTCGCTATCGCACCATCGCAGAAAGGCGCAACTTTCTTCTGGAAAAGAATATGTGCCTGAATTGCGGACGTGAAGGGCACTGGGTTAAGGATTGCTCTAGGGAGGGGTGCAGGACCTGCCAAGGGAAAAAACACAACCAAGTCTTGTGTCCTGAGAGGGTGGGGGCGCCTACAAAGAAACAAGACGCCAATGCAGCTGTCAAAAAACCAACACCAGCACAGAAGAAATGTGCACCGTCGCAACCGACCAAAAGTACAAAGCATGTACCCGCTAAAGTCATGCGAGCTCATCCTGTACTTGCGTGCACTGACAGAAACAGCGCGATTGACTGCGATCCACAGGGTGTAGCAATGAGTACAGAGACAATCGCGGCACGCAGCAACCACGCATCAGCACGCATCAAAGAGGACAATGTGTTCCTTCTAACAGGAATGGGAAAAATACGGAGCATGAGAGAAAACGAGTGGCAGACGGTCGAAATTCTCTTTGACACGGGAGCTGATCAATCGTACATTAACCAGACCCTGGCGGAAAATTTGGGCCTCCTGTGTAACGAAAGGAAACAACTTAAGATATATACATTCGGCTCCACGCTACCTACGACGGCAATATGTGGTATCACACAGGCGGAGATCAGCGATAATCTGGGGGAAAGTCACTTTGTTCGCCTACATGTGATTCCAGTGTTAACTGGAAGAGGTACAAGTATGCACCTCACTTCACAGGATTTGGAATTCATAACCGCTAACAAGGTAACGCTCTCGGGGAACCTGAGGCGTAACGAATCAGTGCCCCAGATCCTTTTGGGTTGTGATCAAATGTGGGACCTATTAGAGGCTGTTTCGCCACGGTACACGTTACCATCAGGGTTGCAACTCATCCCATCAAAACTAGGCTACCTTCTAACTGGGAAGCAGCAGCTAGAGCACCCTCGTAGTGGCGATCAAAGTCTTTGCATCCCATCTAGCATGGTAAATATGGTCGAAACCTTCACCAATGAAGATGACGAGCTCACACGCTGGGACAAGTATTGGACGATGGATAGTAGCGGAATCTGCGAGTTCACGGGAACCAAAAACGCAGAGAAGCTAGCGGTCAATGAACAAGTACTATCCTTCTTCAACAAAACAATCGAAAAGCGACCAAACGGGTACTATGTGCGCTTACCTTATAAAGAGGACCACCCACCACTTCCCTCAAATAAGGCGATCGCACTGAAGCGCCTCTCTAGCGTACTGAATATCTTGAAATCCAACCCAAAACTTCTTGAAGAGTACAATAATATTTTTGAAACGCAATTGAGTAGTGGTATTATTGAGGAAGTCTCCATCACCCAATCGAGACAGGGGGACGTGATCCATTATATCCCGCACCAACCAGTAGTTACGCCACAAAAGGAAACGACTAAGCTTCGCATAGTATTTGACGCCTCATCTCATTTCAAAGATTGCCCGTCTCTCAATGATATCCTCCATCAAGGGCCCCTCATCCTTCCGGAGTTGTATGCTATGCTGATACGCTTCCGAGTCCCTAAGGTAGTAGTCACCGCTGACGTTGAAAAAGCGTTTCTTCAAGTACACTTGCATGAGCTCGATCGTGACGCAACACGGTTTTTCTGGGTGCGCAACTATCAAATGGATCCTGTAGAAGAAAACATTGTGACTTATCGATTTACAAGAGTCACGTTCGGACTTAATGTGTCGCCATTTCTCCTAGGGGCAACTGTGAACTACCACCTTCACAACGCGGTAGAAGACAAGACCATTGCGGGAGAGATCGCTGAGAACCTTTATGTGGATAACCTCATCCTAGCGGCCGAAACATCGAAGGAAGCGATTCGCAAATCCTTATCCTCTCGAGAAATTTTCGCCGACATGGGAATGAACTTGCGCGAGTTCCAATCTAATGACTCACATGTCATTGAGAAATTACCGCAAGATGCGTGTGCGACCGTACATAACCAGAAAGTATTGGGCATTTTTTGGGATAGTAAATGCGACCGTCTCACGATACGTTGTGACTTCCCTTCTTCCATGTATCTTACGAAACGTACAGTAGCAAGACAGATAGCCTCCATCTATGATCCATTCGGATGGCTGGTTCCGCTTCTCATACAGGCAAAAAAATTTCAACAAGAGCTATGGAAGCGCAAATATGAGTGGGACTCAGCGTTGCCGGATGAATTGCGAGATCAGTGGAACACGCTTTGTGACAACATGAACGGATTCGAACGCACCTTTGAAAGACGCTTTCTGAAAGATCCTACAAAATGTGCTTTAGCGATTTTCGCAGACGCAAGCGCGATCGCGATGTCCACGTGCGCTTACCTTTTCAATGAGAACGAAAGGGTACTTGTTATGGCCAAAAGCAAACTACCCTCAATCAAAGGTAACCCCACCATTCCCAAGATGGAGATGAATGCATTGACAATGGGAGTCCGTCTTGCGCTATCAACATTCAACGCGCTCAAAGGTTCCTTGCCACAGGGCATTAGCAATATCTACATATTCACCGACTCGCAGATCGCATTGAACTGGTTGGAAGCAGACCCGAACAACTCTAAGGTGGGCCTTTTAGTCACCAATAGGTTGAAGGAAATCAAACGCATCATATTAGCCCTGCAAGAAGAGGGGGTAGAGGTGCGTTTCAAATTTGTGTCAACCAACGAAAATCCAGCCGACTTAGGGACTAGAGGTGTTACAAAAGCGCAACTGTCGGATTCTCATTGGTGGCATGGACCAGGGTTTCTAAATGATCCCATAAACACATGGTCAACCCCTACGTATTGCCTCAACCTAGGTAGGGACTCAACACCAGTGCTTACGAACGCCGCGGTTTCGAAAACTGATGAGCAAGAAGTAGATTCACTGCTCGACTTGAAGCGATTCAGCTCTCTAGCAAAGGCAAAAAGAGTCTTGGCAGTGGTCATGATCTTCATCAGAAAACTGATCGAGCGCTTACCACAACTTCGTCAAGATGCGATAAGGCACAATATACCGGACCTCGAGCATTTTCCAAAGTCCCTGCGGGAGTTGAGCGGAAGAGGGATAGCCGCATCGCGCCGGATCCTGATACGCAACCATCAATCGATGTACATCACAAAAGACTACCGTAGATGGATGGAAAGCAGCCTACCACTCTTTAAGGACTCAAACGGTATCTGGCGCTCAAAAGGTCGAGTCGGCAATTCCACCCTAGACGATGACACAAAAAACCCGGTTTTCATATATCAGAAGACGTCGCTGGCGAGCCTCATCATACAAGAAGCGCATGGGACGTACCACCAAGGCATAGAACATACGATTGCCACCATACGGTCACAGTACTGGATTCCTAAGTTGCGACAGCAAGTCCGAAAATTAGTAAAAAACTGCATCAAATGTCGCAGGTTCAATGGGCTGCCCTACGCGTACCCATCGGCAGAAGACCTACCGAGCCGACGCGTGATACGCAGTCGAACATTCCAACATATAGGGCTCGATTTTTTCGACCTACCAGTGGTAAAAGAGAAAGACGAGGAACTTAAAAGTTATGGGTGCATTTTCACCTGTGCAGTTACCCGGTTAATTCATCTGGAGCTGGTCCGAAGTATGTCAACCGAAGATTTTCTGAACGCTCTCCGAAGGTTCATAGCTCGCAGGGGGGTACCCTCGACCATAACGAGCGATAACGCTCCCACATTCCTTCTCAGTTCGGAAATTTTGTCATCAACTCCCCAGCAGAACGCCACCATCAGAAACGCTACTGCTCAAAGCGAAATCGAATGGAAAAATATCACTCCGTATGCGCCTTGGCAGGGTGGCTTCTATGAGCGTTTGATTAAGTCCATCAAACACGCCCTCTATAAGTCACTCAAGGGGAACGCACTACGCTCAATAGACAACCTGGCTACAATTCTGACGGAAATTGAAGCCTGCTTGAATTCTAGACCCTTGACCTATCAAGGATCCGAGTTTGATAGTCTGCACGCGATTCGTCCCATTGATTTCCTTCAAAGGGATGTGGTTTTGACGTTTCCGTATGAACGCCACGATCGAGGGGATGATCCAGAGTATTTGCCGCCAAACGAACTCCGCGCGTTGAATACGAAAAGGGATGCTGAAGACGCGCTGTCCTCATCCTGTCAATTCACTGAGCGGTTTTGGAATATCTGGCAAAAAACTTACTTGACCAGCCTGCGCGAAACGCAAAAACATCACCCCTTTTCCACGCGTCATCATCAACAGACTCCAAAACAGGGAGACGTGGTTCTTGTAAGTGATCCTGTACTACCACGGAATGATTGGAGATTGGCTAGGATCACGAGCACACTTGCAGGGACGGATGGCCAAATAAGAGAAGTGGAGCTGGTCACCGGCACGAGGAGAAAAATTAAGCGACCTGTCAACCTAATTGTACCTCTAGAGCTCCATGATTCCAAATCCGCCGCAAATGAAGCGGATGAAACGAAAAGACTAGAAACGGAGAGCCAAAATCGCCCCTCAAAAACGCACCGTTACAATTTACGCTCGCATGCCAAGGCTCAACTCGCAAATAATAGTGTGAACGCCAATGTCACGGGGAGAGGGAGCGCTGGGCCACGCAAATGGTTTCTGTTTTATATCATGATTCTCTCACTAATTTGTAGATCGCTTGGCACTTTCGTGACTGACACCGCTATGCAATGCACGGAAAAAGGGGTACAGATCTTTACGCAAATCAATACAACATTTGAAGTTTGCGCAGAAACCCATTGTGAAGTGCATACGGCTACAGCCAATTCGTATACGGTAAGATTCCCACCGGACGTAACCCTACATGACCATGCGGTTTCTTTGAAAAGGCATATAAATGGTCAAGTATCCGTGATAGAAACAGTGTGTCCAGCCATCAATTTCTGCGAAAATAGAGAGTGCAACCTTTGCATTGCGACTTTATTCAATCCAGAATGCTGGCCACTTGGCGCGATCCTTTTATTGGTCCTTCTTCTATATGGTCTCACAGCAGTCATTTATCTACTGCTGTACGTTCCTATGACCATTGGAAAACCAATACGCATAATACTACATGGACTTGTTATCACTCTACGCGTTGGATTGCACCTTTTGAGAAGGTGCCTTATCGGGCTACTACGCCGATCCTCACGGAACACGCGAACTAGGAGCGAGCGCATTACGCTAGCATTAGCTGTGTTAACGCTTTTGACATTTCTGACGGAGAAAGGTACTTTCGGTTGCCAACAGGTTGATATTCTCGAATATCATTCTACCGTCTGTATGCAAACATCTGGCAAAGAAAAGTGCAGCGTAGTGATTAAAGAGCTTCTGAAGATCAACACATTCCACCGAGAAGCCTGCTTGCGCCTTACGCGGAATTCCACACTGATCGCTAATGTGAAAATACAGTGGAAAGGGTTGTACCTTGACTGCGAAAAGGAAACGCTTTTCTTCACGCGCCCTACCAAACTAAAGGTGATTGACAGCAAACGATGTGCAAACGTGGGTTCTTGTCTAGAAGACAAATGTGCAGGTGTCAATTCATCCAGCCTTCTCGCGGAGTTAGCCCCCGGGAACAACTACACTGGGCGCACTGGTTGTACAGAATCATGCGGTGGTTTAGGGTGCGGCTGTTTTTGGCCAAGTTCAGGTTGCTTATTCTATCGTATCTACGCGGTACCTACAAGCGACAAAGTGTATGAGTTCTTCCGCTGTTCGCGCTGGGTAGAAAGGGTGAAGCTCGAAGTAGTCATAGAAGAATTAAAATCAGGCCAACA